CCTCCTCTCTCCAGTTCCCCTCCCTGCTTCAGGATCCGCGCCAGGAGCTTGCTGGTCTTAACCCCTTCTTGCCCCGGCTCGCGGGGGAAACACGGAGGAAGATTCCTGGTGCGGGGATTTGGGGCATCAAACCAGTACCTTGGAGGCAGCCCGTGGGTTATGGCTGTCCCAGCTGGGAAGGGAACCCAGCCCCCTGCTGTAACCAATTAGACACCCCCCCAGAACCCAGGAGTCCTGACTCTTCCCCGCAATCTCCCCCCCAGCCAGGAACAGCCTGGACAGCTAAGCCAGGGCCTGCCTGCCATGTGGCTTCTGATGGAATGGGAAGCCCACTTGGGGAGGGGCCGTGCCAGCCCAGAAGCAAGGCACCAGGTTATATGTGGGGGAGAGGGGCAGCGCTGAGGGCATGGGTCAGGCTGGCACAGAGCTCTGGCACATCTACTCTGAAAGGCAGCGAGTGTATGTGAGACCCAGATGTATGTGAGACCCAGGTCTAAGCCTGCTCCAAAGCAGGAAGGGGCTGTTTGTGCCCCAGTTGGAGGAGTGGTTCGGACAGCCCCAGGATGCTGACGGGTGGGGGGGTTAAGCTGCCCCATCCTGTACAATCCATCTGTCCAAACCCCACTGCTATATGCTGAGGGGCCCCCCACATGGCTGAACACACAGGGGTGAGGACCCAGCTGTGGCTTGCCCTGCTAGCAAGGGATAAGCCAGGGAAGGGCCCCAGGCATGAGGCAGGGGGAACCTCACTCATCTGGCTGCCCCTCTGCCCTCCCTTCCACACCCAGGAAAGGAAGCACAGAGAGCTCAGAGCCTGGCTACCAGCATCACCTTTATTAGGGACCAGAGCATTCATGCAGGGTGGGGACAGGCCCACCCTGGACCCAGCTGTCCAGGGTCCCACAGACAGCACCCTCAACTGGGCCAGCTGTGCTGGGGGGGCAGGGGTAGGGAGGGAGAGCTCAGTGGGAGAAGCCAGAGGGAGGCCCACACTGGGAGAGCCAAAGAGGAGCTGGGTGGGACATGCTGTGTTGCTGACAGAGGGGAAGCACAGTGGCCTAGGGATGCCCTGGATGGGGAGCTCAGTGGGAGGAAGCACAGCAAGGGGG